CTCCGGGATTCGGTCCGACTGAGGCATCACCGACTCCCCAAGACTCTTGGAGGAAAGCCTTGGGGGACAAAAGTGCCCCGCTGTTTCATGGAGCGGAAGCTTTCCTTCCCGTAGTCCAAAGAATCCGGACGCACCCGCCTTTCCCAGAACCGGAGACCGTGGCCTCCTCGGGCTCCCCTCACTGCCTCAAACAAAAGCCGGAATGGGAAAAACCACCCGTCAGTATAATAGATGTGTTTGTTCTGGTCGGCGTCCTGTTTCCCTCAAGCTCCCGTCCCTTTAGACCTTCGTAGCTGACCAGGAATTTTGAATATGTGCAAGGACGCAGAGCTAGAAAGAAAACTTAAAATTCTACAATCCGTCCTGCTGTACGTGCATGTCTGTCTGTGCAGCGAGGTCGTCACTGCTCCCGGCGAGGGCCTTTATTCACAAAGGCGGGGGGCTTAGAGGCTTTTTAGGGCGAGTGAAAGGAAAATTGCGGTGGAGAGTTGTTGCCTCAGTATAGAGTGTGATCGAGTCTTCGCACCCAAGGAATTGAGAAGGTCTTGGTACTGCAGTTTCTTGGGATCTGTTTAGTCGGTTTTCTCGGTTTGCAAATCTGGTTGTATCCAAGCAACCAGGACAGGGGAGGGGGTTCTTGCCACCCTTACACACCCCTGCGGGATCAGCCTACTTGGGTGGGAATTTACTGGGGAATAGGGGAGAAGGTGACGTGCGCGGCGCCATCATCAGAAGTCTAGGTTTAATTCTTAGCTGGAAGGTGGGAAAATTTGCGTGGGAGGGCGATCCTAAGAGGTGAAGTCTAGTATTCCCTTCACTAGACAGAAGGGTTGTTCTGAAGGCTGATTTTGTTCTTTCATTGTGGCTGAGGGCAACTCCAAAGATAGCTTAATAGATACACTTCTAAAGTCATACTCTGCGTGCTTATTCAAGTCGCCTTTATCTCTTTATCTGAATAAACTGGTTTCTGTTATCATACAAAATAACTTCTATAATTAGGGGTTGTGGTAATAACAGCCCAGGATTTCTAAGACTCTTTTTAGTTGAAATATTTTTATAGTGTTTACCCTTCAGGCAGAGAGAAATTTTTCCATATAGCAGAATCTCTTAAGAAAAAAAAATAAAATAAAACATATACTTTGGCTTATTAACTTTATTATTATATTGATATTTTGTTTTGCCCAAAAGGCCTAAAGTAAGAAACTGGTATTGGTTTTACTGTTTGGCTTTAAAGAAATGAGATCTAGTTCTCAGAGACAGGATTTTAGTATGTTAGGGTGCAGAAAGCTTATTCATTCTTATTATATTGGTTTTCTTCCCAAATTAGGATCAAATAATTGATTGTTCAGTTTGGGTTCTGTTTTGTTTTTGTTTTGTTTTGTTTTAGGATTTTGCCACAGGACACATGTGCTCCTGGGGAGATAGAGTGAGGGAAGGGGTTGGCCATGCTGCAGTCCCTTCTGCCCCATTTTTCTCTTGGGATTTTAGACATGCACACATATGCATCTGGCATGACTTTCAAGCTGCCAAGTCCAGGACTTTTACTGTGATCATCCATGTTAAAGCCCAGTGCCTTAACCAACATGCCACCAGCTGACCCCTGATTAGTCAAATTGTTTTAAGAGTTATTTATTTACTCTTATTTTTTTTTTTTTAATTTGCTACAGGGCACATGTGCTCATCAGAGAGAGAGATAGAGAGAGGGAAAGTGAGAAAACAAGCCACCAGGTCCGAGACTCAAACTTCAGTCAACCTTGTGGAAGTCTAGTACCATAACCACCAAACCACCTGCTGGCTTGACTACTCCATTTTTATTTACATAAGAATTTTGTTTCTTTCTTTTTTTTTTTTTTTCTTGGAGAGGTTTTTGCTATAGGGCGCATGTACTCACCAGAGAGACAGAAAGTGAGAAATCACCCTGGGGGGGTGGGGATGGCTATGCCGCAATCCCTTCTCCATTCTCCTCTGGTCCTGAGTTCAGTAAAATAATTCTTAAAAATATATATTAAAAAAAGAAAGAGGGACCAGCAGTTAGCGTAATGGCTATGTCACTGGACTCCCATGTAGTCACCCACGGTTCGAGTCCCGGACCTAGTGGCTTAAACTCACGCCAGGCACATGTGTGTGTGTGTGCCCAAGATCCTGAGAGGAGAATGGAGGAGAAGGGATTGCGGTGTGGCCATCCCCGTGGGGCGTGGTTTCTCACATTCTATCTCTCTGTCTGTCTGTCTTTCTGGCGAGCACACGCACCCTATAGCAAAAAAGTAAATAAAATTAAAAAAAAAAATAAATAAGAAATATCAAATATCTCAGAGCCAGCTGGTAACATAGTGGTTGAAGTGGCTGGATCCCACATAGACAGTTGTTCAATTAGAGTCCTGGACCTAGTAGCTTGAAAACACACCAGGCACGTGTGTACCCCCAAAATGAAGGAGAAGGGATTTCAGTGTGGCCATCCCCCAAGGGGATGAATTCTCACTTTTCCTCTCTCTCTCTGTCCCTCTCCCACAAGTACACATGTAGTGCTCATGCCCTATAGTAAAATTTGAAGAAGAAACATGGAGTATCCTTATACATGTTATAAATAAGTGATAAATTATATACACGTTATAAATAAGGGATAAATTATATAGAGAAGAGGAAAAGGTCTTAGGAAATTCACATTAGAAATGATGCTGGGACCAGCAGATGGCATAATGCTTATGTTGGGGGACTCCCACATGGCTGACTGCAGTCTGAGTCCTGGACCTGGTGACTTGAAACACACTGGGCATGTGTGCATGTGTGCTCAAAATTCTGAGAGGAAAATGGAGAAGAAGGGATTGTGGCATGGCCATTCCCCTCTCAGGGGTGATTTCTTACTTTCTGTCTCTCTGGCGAGCACACATATCCTATAGCAAAAAAATATCTCTCTCTCTAAAAAAAAGGGACCAGCAGGTGGCATGGTGTTTAAGGTGCTGAAATCCTACGTGGCTGACCATGGTTCAAGTCTGGACCTTGAAACTTGCTTTCTCACTTTCTCTCTCAATCTGTCTCTCACTGGTCACATTTAATAATAATAATGATAATAATAATGAACATTAAATAATTATTTAAAATTTTTAATGCATGCCACTGGGGCCAGCAGGTAGTGTGGTGGTGGAGACCCTAGACTCCACCATGGCCAACACACATCATTTCAATCGACATTTTCCTGGTTAAAGCGTATGGCTGGGATAGAGAAGGCACCACTTTAACCTTAACTAAGGACAGTGTTCCCTGAAACCTCTAGCCAATTTTTTTTGAGAGTTTTTTTTTGTTTCTTTTTTTTTTTTTTGGAGAGGTTTTTGCAATAGGGCGTGTGCACTCGCCAGATAGACAGAGAGAGACAGAGAGACAGAAAGCAAGAAATCACCCCCCGGGGGGGATAGCCACGCCGCAATCCCCTCTCCTCCATTCTCCTCTCGGGATCTTGGGCACACACGCACACGCGCCCCGTGTGAGTTTTAAGCCACCGGGTCCGGGATGCAAACCACGGTCGACTACGTGGGAGTCCAGTGACATAGCCATTACACTAACTGCTGGTCCCAGTAAGCAGTTCTTTTTTAAAAATATTTTAATGTATGCCACTGATTTAGTAATAGAAATAATTAGTAGACAACTAGATATGTAACCCTTTCTTTTCTGTTGTC